TACCAACGAAGGGATACAAAATATAGAATCTTGCTGTGCCTGCAGTTGTTGCTAACTCCTACCACCTTCGAACCATTGGCCATGATGGTTGGGGCTGATAGGATTTTGAGTCTAACCATAGCTGGAGGACTGCAGATTCTGCATCCTAGCTGTCACCAATATCTGACTCCATGATCATGTCCTACAGTATATGCTGGTATACCCATCTTTCTGTTCAAATAGAATGGGGCGTGGAGACCAGACAGTTGGTGGTCTGCATCTGTCTTCTTCTGAAAGAATTGATTGCTTTCACTGAAAAATGTTGAGATGTTATCTACTGCTCCAGAACACATATGACATAATCAGTGAATATAATCTGCTGTTATTGTGGCATTAAAAAGTATGTAAGGCTTTAGGAGGCTGAGGCATACTTACTTGGTAGGAAGTCCCATTGGAGATACTGATTACTGAGTTGAAAGAAAGGAAGGAAGGGGGGATATTTGTGGTGTTTTGATCCAATCTGTATGGTGAGTCATTTCACACAAAGAGTTTAGTGTCCACACTCTGCATAAATATAGCTATGATGTGGGGTAACAAAGTTGCTTCCATGTGGTAGATGTGCTATAGTGAGCCATGGACCTAAACTGTTCCATAGAGTGACTTTTTGTCTTGGTTTTTCTCTCCTCTGATACTTGCAATGTGATTGGCTGGAAATCTCAATTGCAATGTTTGTCTACCTTTTGCTTGGCTGTGTCTGTAAGGCCCAAGGGAGTGTATTAGATAGTGGTCTGGAGTTTCCCGGGTTTCTCCGTGCTTGTTTTCCCTTTATGCATTGCCTCCCTGAAGTGCTTTGGATAATAATACATCATTCATGAGTGGCATGATGAATGCTGCTGCACATTTGCATGGATTGATGGCTTGTCATATTATGTAACTTGTTAGTTTGAAGGCACATTGGGTCAGGGAGCATCCAATCTCTTCCGGGAAAGATGGCTCTCTGGGGTGTCAGCTTTTGTTTTGTTTATTAAATGTCCAGATGTAAAACTGAGTTTTCCATGGTATGCTAGTACTGCTGACTCTCTTTGGAAGCAGCTTTTGATATTTCTAGGGAAAGAGAAGCGTGGCTGAGTGTCTAAACTGTATTTGCTGACTGTCTTTAAAGGTGTTGACTTACCTATTTATCCAGTGAAGCTGTTCCATTAGGGCAAGGACTTTCACCTGCACAACGACATTTTGTCTCCCTGCATGCCTCCATATCCCCCATTCTGTTCTAGGATTTCCCCCTCTACCCATCAGAACAGATTTTTTTTCTTGGGAGGGGGTGCCCAGAGGTATGTGGGTAGATGTGCACAAGTCCTGTTGCATTGCACTAATAGGACAACTCCATTGGATACAACCATTTATTTTTAAAGGTGGCAGGAATAGATTTTCTGAGAAAGGAGTCTAGAGTAGTATTGTTTATTCTGTAGGCTATGGGCTTCATACTGAATACATCTTATCTAGAACTATGGATGAACAAATCTGTTTATTTTGGTTTCTGTCTGTCATTTTTTCAATCTTAAATTCAGTTTGGCACATTCCTGCATTGGTTTGTGGATTTTTAAAGTCCTTTTGAAAAATCATAAACATTTTGAGGTGCATTTCTCTTAAAATATGCATTTTTGTACAGTCATACCTCTTGTTACGTTCGGTTCAGGTTACGTCTTTTCAGGTTGCGTCTTGTGGCGACCCGAAAATACCGTAAAGGGTTACTTCTGGGTTTCGCCACTCACGCATGTGCAGATGTGCAAAATGACATCACGCACATGTGCAGAAGCGGCAAATTGTGACCCGCGTGTGTGCAGACGCGGGTTGCGTTCCTTTAGGTTGCGAACGGGGCTCCAGAACGGATCCCGTTCGCAACCAGAGGTACCACTGTATGCAGTTTTGCCTGATCTATACTTTTTTAAAAGCCCTTTCAATATAATGTACTTCCGTGTGTTATTTTCATTAATATAAGCATTTATGTACACTTCTCCCTTATGTATACTATCCATTTTTGCCAACATTTTTTCATGAGATAACTGCAGCGCAAAATTCAGATTAGAGCACATTTTGAAAAACAGCTGTGTTTTGGTTTACATATTGTTTGAGGAAGCGCAAATTAGATAGGTTTGCATTAAAATTCAAATGGAATCGAATTATCCCCTGTTCCAATCTAGAACATAGGGCAACACACAGCTTGGAAAGGTTGTGAGCTATGCTTTGTTGCCTTCACAATTGTCACTTTGTTTGGCTGATGTTCCAGGTTCCCAAGAAAGATGTGAACATTGCGCATTGTGTCTACATACAGTATTAATCGGCACTATTTTTGGTTCATAGTATCCGCTGGTACCTCTGCTGATAAAATTAATTGTCCCTGTGAACCATACAAGGTTTTGGGATCAAAATGACAAGGTGAAGTTTATGATGGTCATATGGAACTCTTTGAGATCTGCTAACACAGACAGACCCTTTTAAACCAGGGCTCATCAACGTGGTGCCCTCCACATGTTGCTGTGTAGCTGGTGGAAATTCTGGTCCAACCACATCTGAAGGGTACCACATTGGCTACCCCTGCTTTCCAGGTTTGGATGCAACAAATACCAAGCTTCCCCACATTTTTATAGGTTGCCATGTGTCCTTTTTTTTTTTCTAGGACACATCCTCTTTTTGAGGGGTAAAATTCCAGGTGGAATTTTAAAATTTGCCAAAATGTCTCTGGCTATACTTTCTGGATGAGTCATAGACATAACTGGTGGCTGAAGGCTTGGTTTACTCTTCTCTTCTCCTGCCCCCCTCAGCCATATATCACAGCTTCAGTAGCCTACATATAGTAGGGGTATTTAAAATAAGAGTCATCATAGCATCCTGTTTTTTGTTCTTCAAAATATGGCAACCCTAGTTGGAAGAAACTGAGCTGCCCCCCCCAAAAAAAATAGTAAATACCTTGGCTTACCTCCATGTCTACCCCTTAAAAGCCTGCCTTCCCATTCACCAGTGCACTATGACTAAACATGGTTCTTGAGTAATTGGAAATTTGGCAGAAGAACTATTTAAGCTCCCCAACTTCTTTCTATGTAGCTGCAGGATATGTGCTATAGATGTTTAATGCCGAATGTCCAAATAGGGCTTATACAAGGCCTATAACTATTAGGGGTTTCAGTACATGTTTCATGTTTTGCCCTAACACTTCAAATGCTTCTCTTTTTTAAAGCTATACTTCCATTTCATTTCTTTCTCACACTTGTTTTGTCTTCATATTATGCTTTCACTGGGTGGTACAATTCAAGCTATCATGGGAACGTAAGAAGCTGCCTTATACTGAGTCAAACCATTGATCTGTCTTGTTCAGTATTGTCAACACTGACTGGCAGCAGCTAACGGGGGTTTCAGGCAGTGAGTCTTTTTCAGACCCACCAGGAGACACAAGGAATTAGACTAGGGTCCTTTTGCATGCAGAACATGTGCTTCACCACCAAAGCATGTCCTTCCCTCTCCCATGTGAAACCCACTGCCCTCTCCTTAATATGGGTCTTCAGGATGTGCAGGTAAGTTGGTTTCTATCCGGATAGGTTGCTGACAGTATACATTGGATGGTTTAACTGCCTTCACCTCTAAGCACCTAAACACTTTTTCCTTGTTCATCTGTACTTTGCTCCACCTTCCTCCCAGTCTGAACCCCATCCTCCAATATGAATGTGAAATGTTTTGACAGTGTTATTTCAGTGTATGGCAGTGGATACTGCTTGTCTGAGGTTATAAATCCTACCTTGCATTCTCCGGAGAGGCAATCTAGGCGCCGTAAGGGTAAGAAATCTATCTGTGGTCGTCTCCACTCTCACCTTGGGATTTAAAAGCTCTGTTTCTCTTAAACACAACCAGTTTTATAGCTCAACAACACACCACATAGTGGAGAAGGGCATATGGGTAGCTATGTCAATTACAATCGTCTTATCCTTGCAGAGTACTCCTGTGATGCTGTGTGATTTAGATGCCATTATGCATTTCAAAAGGATTGAGAAATGGTTGTTTGTCATTGCTGTTTGTTGCTCACAGCTGGTTTTATGACTGAGTTTTGCTCATAAACAGGTGGTTAGAACATTCCTTCAGCTATGCAATACAGTCTGTGCGGCTCTGAATTAATTTCGCTCTTGTGTTGCATAGCACCAGTGTTTTCATTTTAAAATTGAAAGCAGCAATGTTTCTGGCAGTGCCAAAGCTGCTGGTGTGAATTCAAATGTTGGGGGGGGGGGAACATATCACTCAGCTAAAACACATCCACCCTGGTTAACAAAAAGAGAAAGAAAAGCATAGTCACTTTTGGATATATGTTGGGTATCCTTCTGCCAATGGTTTTTGTCAAAACAGGTTTCCTACTAATAGGTTGAAAGGTAAGTTATTTCTCTGCTGCTTATGGATCTCTAATTCCAAAGCTGTCTCTTGCTTTTGGACCCTGCAGTAGGCAAGCAATGCAGTAGGATTCTAATGTGTCCCACCGATGCTCATTTTATATCAGGAACCTAAGCAGCATGAAATGCAGCCATCATTTTGCAGTGGAAAGATGCTCCTGAATCAGGTAAGATGGCTCTCCCACACAGGGCAGTTAGTCAGCCTGCCTGGTGCACTGGAAAGAACAGGTAATGCTGCTCTTGTGATTAATATGTGTTGGAAGGAGTTGAATGTGGCCTGTAGGTCCTTCTGATCTCTTTGGTGCATATTCTGGATATATTTTGTATAAGTTGAAGTGCGTTCCATGCTGAATGTTTTCTTTTTGGGATGGTAATTCCATTGATGATGATCATAACAGTTGTTTGCTGACTGATTTCCTTTGTGATGCCAGTTTTTCACTAAAACAACAAAAGGGTTTTTGTGTGTGGTTTTTTGTTTTTTGTTTTTTTTTGCACCTTGAAGACTAACATATTTATTGTGCCACAAAGCGCATGAAAGCTAATGCCATCATAAATTTGCTAGCCTTTAAGATGCCACAACACTCTTTGCTGGTTATTCAGCAACAGACTAACATGGCTGCCTCACTGGGAGTTTATTGTGAAAGTTCTGGATTGTTTTAAAGGGAAGTCAATAACATAAACAACTACAATAATGATACAAGGATCTGCACTTATATATATGTTAACTTGGTGCTGTAAACAGAATATTCTTCTCTTTCTGGGGTGTCTGCACAGGTAAGCAGTGTAGAATTCATTTCAGGTTTTCTAAGAGAAGTTGGTTCTGTAAAAAAAGGCGGGGGAAAGCATAATCAAGGGAGGAAAAGATTGCTACTTCCAGATCAACAGGGAAGCAAAGTAGCTACTTAAATTGAAGCTCTTGTACAGTAAAGGAGATGTTTTCGCAGCAGTAGGGCATCTATAATGGACTTCCAGTGTCCTTTTGTACACAGGGTCCAATTTCACAAATGGGCACAACAGTTTTAAGTTGACATTTCTCCTTTCTTTAAGTATAGCTCATAGAAAGCACAAAGTACTGGGTGGGGGTATTTATGATTGTCTTGGTAAAAAATGCAAGTTTGACTTTTCCTACTTGATCAAGGGATGTCAGCATGTTATGAAAGTAGCAAATATACCATCTTTACATTGCTGATAATACTCTTATAAGCAAAAGGTTTACAGACATGAAAGTTAGTGTAATAAACATTACCACATAGCATCCTCAGGAAGTTACAAGCAATTCTGTTGAAATTTTCTATAGACAGGAGATTCCCGTAGACCCTTTGCTCCAGGGAGCACTTATATAAAAGAGCTGGTCTCTTAGTCATGGCTTGTATACTGTCAGTTTGACATAAGGCACCTGCATTGTATCCCCTGACACTGCAATTAAATTAAGTGGCGGGTGGTGCAGTTTGAATCCCCGCGACAGGGGGATTCCTTGGTCCCTGCTCCTGCCAACCTAGCAGTTCGAAAGCACGTCAAAGTGCAAGTAGATAAATAGGTACCACTCCGGTGGGAAGGTAAACGGCATTTCCGTGCGCTGCTCTGGTTCACCAGAAGCGGCTTAGTCATGCTGGCCACATGACCACATGCTGTACGCCGGCTCCCTCGGCCAATAAAGCGAGATGAGCGCCGCAACCCCAAAGTCGTCTGTGATGGGACCTAACGGTCAGGGGTCCCTTTACCTTTATGTTTTCCCCAAAGAAGTTTTCATGGCACACTGTATACTGCAATCCTCAGATCACCTACTCTGGAGCAGAAACAAAAGCAAGCAAATTAGAGTTAAGTTACCAATAGTTCTGAGGACTGTATTCATTAATTAAAGCAAATGTTATGTAGTTCTTAGTTTACCATGTTCAGCACCATGAGATATGGTACGGAGCCCTAAATGAGAGTCACTTTAGGCTTAAAAGGGAGACTGACAGAAGATGAAACAAGCAGGACACAACCACTTCGACTCACATACTTCTTGTCCATTGTGCACTTTTCTTCCACCCTCATTTAAGCATGTGGCTTTCCAATTTCAGCATCCTCAAGGGAGTTTACCACAATAACATCCACACTGACCAGGCTTGCACAACCTGTGGCCCGCTGAGCCAAACATGGCCTACCAAGAACCACCAGCCTCCCCTTCTACTTCTTGATTAGGGCTGTAAAAACTAAGATGTGATTACTGTGTCTTAGTAACATTGGCTTGGGAGATCACATGCTTTCCAAGCCTGCCCAAGTGAGAAAGTGAGCTGCTCAAAAGCTTGTGCACCTGCTCAGTAATGTAAACAGGTTCCTCAAGAGTAACTGCTACTATGTCTAAGCAAAGATTTTCAGAGTGGCACCAGCAGCTTCCCTTCCTCTGTCATTTGCTCCCTTCGTTTATTCACCTCATTGGCTCTACTGCGATGAATTGGGGCGAGGATCTCGGCCTGTTGTGGGTCAGACGATGACATGCTAGTATTTGAGTACTTTCTTTTAGAAACGGTTTCCTTTGGGGGGGGGGAATGCATGCCCATGTTTCCCACCAGCATAGGATTGGACAGATTTATTTGTTTAAACAAAATGAAAAGGGCATGTGTGGAATTTCCTGTATAGCATAGGAGACAACTCCTTGGGGCCGAGGAGACTTCACCCCCCCAAAAAATATTTGAGGGGATGGGCACCCCCAAAGTTGATGGGCATTGGCATTCAAATGGTGTGCGTGCACTGCGTTATGTGATCAGTTATGCAGGGTGGGGCTTACCTGGACCACCCAATCTTTTATTCAAGATGGCACCCCAGCCAATACAGTGGACCCTCGGGTTACATGCATGCGTGCGCAGAAGGGCTCCTCCGGTTATGAAGTTTTTGGGATGTGGCTGGGCCTCCGGAAAGGATCCCATTCGTAACCAGAGGTACCACTGTATAGCAAAGCCACACCCACCAACCAAGCTCTTGTTAGATTTCTGTTATGCCACTGTTCAGCTTTTGGAGTCACAAGACTCTGTTTACATTCCAGACTGTTGGAAGTCTCACGGGAGACGGATGTTGATGTTACTGGTTTCCTGTTTCTTTGTTCAGTTGTTCACTGACTCTCACAGAGAGCACATGCTTTTCTTTTCTGTCCTGCGTAGTTAGAAATAAACGTAGCAATGTAGCACACATTTCTTGGCTCCTTCTGCTGCTTGGATACTCTTCATAATGGGAGCGTGCCTGAAGCCTCATTAAAGGCTTAGGTTGTTAATCACCGTCGGAGGCGGAGAGCCTGATGGATTCCGAAGTACGAAGTGGAGGAGAGCTATTTCAGCTCGGTCGTACGGAACCTCCAACAGCTCTCTCCTCCGCTGCATGTGTACAACAAAGGAGGATAAACTGTGAGCTATGGGGGCAGTCCTTTGGGGTGGCCTGCAGAGACTATCCAATATTTGTCAGTGGACGGCAGCACCTTTGTGTGTTGTTTGTGGGGGTTGTACAATGAACCACTGTAGTGATTCTGCTAGTGGAAAAGTTGTTCCCATTGCTTGATAAATTGCCACTGGAAATCTTAAACTGAGGTGGGAACCTCAGGCCCAGGCTTTCCAGGCCTCTCTGGCCCTCAGGAATCTCAGTAGGCCATGCCAGGCTACACCCATCGGTGGGCTTGCTCTGCAGCTGCTTGAGTACTTTTGCTTAGCTGGAATGTGTCCCTGAATTGTGATGATGCCTCTTGCTTGCCTGACTGGAGGCTGGAGAGCTGTGTGGGGCTTGTGACTTGTGTGTGGCCTACTTGACAAAAGCAAGTAGGTTGCTCTGCTTGCCTTTGCTTCTGGCCATGCTGATCCATGACATCCCCCAGAAGGTTGCCCACAGTGGAATTAGGGAATATTCCCTACCCTGGCCTATTTGCTGCTTTGTATAGCAGACACCTCTTTTCCTTTCTCCTGATATGCAAGTTGGAGAAGGATTGGCTGTGCCATCCCATGCTCTACATACCTTTCTTGCATTGCCACTTCACATGACTGACCTTTCAGAACTTAAATCCATTTGAATGCTAACTGGAGACTGTAGTGATGGAGGTTTTCTTTAAGGCCTGTGTAGATTCCTGTAGTGTAGAGTATAATAGGTAGTTCTATTACGTGGGATACTTTAGTACAGGACATAGCCTCCATGGTGTTATGAAGATGTTATTGGAATACAATTCCCATAAAGCACAGGGTGTTAGCCAATTCACTTTAATAATGCAGATATGAGTCCGAAGGGGAAAAGAAATCCTGATGCTTTAAACATGAAAACTGAACAAAAACGGCATAATTTGAGGGGGAGGAAACAGCTTTTGTCATTCTAACTTCAGGCCTTGTGCCTGATGGGAACATTCAACCAAACATACAGAGTGAAGAATCTCCATCAGAACGACACAGCCAATCAGAACACATGCTATCTCACTCTGCCTAGTTGCTAAGTGACACCTACACACACACACACACACACACACACACACACGAATAGTTGTCTAACCCTGAGAACAGCATTAACCCTGGAGTTATACACTGAACAATCTCTGCTGTTGCATTTCCAACATAGGGATAGTGGCTGTTGTAGCCCAACAACATCTGGAGGGGCTACCCCTAGTTTAATAGATGTTTTGTGGTTACTAGCAAATGTTATGTTGTTAAGCAGAATGAAAACAATGGGAGTTTGTTGCCCCTTTAGCAGCATCCTAGACGTCAAAGGAGAGTGGCAGACTATTTTAGCATTCTTCCAGTTATTGTCCCTTCTAATTAATGGCCAAAAGCAACCATGAGATCTTACTGAGCTATCTTCCTTTTTCCATTACTTGCTCCAAGTGAGCCAACATTTGCACTTGCAAAGTAGATATAAAGGTTAGCATGCTGTATTGTACACTAAGCTGCAAAGAGGGACACCCCCTTGAAAGATGTACCGGGGTAGGGTATGTTGAAAGATGCCTTGTTTCCCCATCTCCAATATTAGATAAACACTGATTTGGTTGAGACAAAATTACTTTTGTGTGTGTTCATATTCATGGATTCAGAAAGCACCCCCTCTTTTTTTTATCATGCCTGGTTTTCAGTGCAAATGTATTGTCTCTGCAACCATTGGCCTTATTTGCCAAGACAGTAGATTCCTCTGGCTTGAATGTGGCTGCCTGTATGGTTTTCTCAGTGACATCGCAGTGCCACATCTGACACAGTGATGTCACAGAAATATATAAATAAAATCACAATGGTCACCCAACCAGTTGGGTTGAATGGCAGCTTGGGAAATTGAGACCATGGATGGGGTGGAGAAGAAGTAGCTGCCAGATGGACAAAAGGTATTTGAAACAATGGAAGTACTTGTTGACTAACTAGTGCTAGTGAAGAATCATGAAAACTTATACATTGCATAAGGGGATATTAACCGTGCACTTCTAGATTGGATCATGACCTCTAGGAGGAAACATTCAGGTGTGGTGAACTTCTGTGCCCGGTATACCTGAGCTTTCCATATAGAGTCAGAATACATTTCCTGGCACACTTTACTATTTATAGGGAGTTCCTGGCACTGAGGAGGACCTAGTCAAGCGGGGCCAATCTCATCATCTTGATATTTTTTTTAGTGCCCAGTGGCTAGCTCTGATAGAAATGCTTGCAATGCCTTGAAGGGACAAGTAGAGAGAGCAGTTTTTCCAGAAGATTTATTCAAGTTTGATTCTTGCTATCTCTCACAGAGTACAGCACTCTTCCTGCCCTCACAATATATTGGATTTTGGTGCACAGGAGAGATACACAAAGTTGCGCTCTCTGTATTAAGAAAACCTAAATCAGTGTCCATTTGCTAAGTCTGTATTACCTTCTTTAAAACTTAAATCCAGTTGAAGTTGTGTATAAAAATCTTAAAATAAATGCTTTGCTTTCTGCCCCTTATGATAGCTGCAACTCATGTTTGATTTTTACAATGGTGGTTCTCTTTAAAACCTATGGGAAATGGATACATCCATAGTACTGAGTAGTTAGATTCCATCATTTTCTCTGTTTCTTGCCATTTTGACACAGTTTGTTGGGAAACTGATGGAGGCCAAAGAAAGTTAAAATATATGCAGTGAAAGCAAACGTCAGTTCAATTACATTGAGAATTTAGTAAGCTGCCTTATGCCGATTCAGACCATTAGTCCTTATAGCTCAGTATTTTCTACACTGATCGACTGGTGGCAGCTCCCCAGGATTTCAGGACGAGATCTCTCCCCAGTCCTGCCTAGAGATTGAACTTGGGGCTTTCTGTATCTACCATTGAGCTACAGCCTTTTCTGGGGATCAGCCAGTGTGGTGTAGTGGTTAAGAGCGGTGGACTCGTAATCTGGTGAACCGGGTTCGGGTCTCCGCTCCTCCACATGCAGCTGCTGGGTGACCTTGGGCTAGTCACACTTCTCTGAAGTCTCTCAGCCTCACTCACCTCACAGAGTGTTTGTTGTGGGGGAGGAAGGGAAAGGAGAATGTTAGCCGCTTTGAGACTCCTTAGGGTAGTGATAAAGTGGGATATCAAATCCAAACTCTTCTTCTTCTTCAAATCTGCTTGGAAATGGTGTCTTCTGTCCTGGAATACCTAATATTCACCTAATACAAAATGCATAGGAGCTGGGTGTGAAAATGGTTGCATTGGGGTGGGTGAAGGAGTGTGGCTCAGTTGCAGAGCATGTGTGATGCCTGCCAAAGCCCCGGGTCGAATCCTTTGCATCTCTAGTTAAAAGGAATGCAGTTAATCCTTCAGAATGCACACTTCTCTTAACTTTGCAGTGCAGTTCTCATCTCATAAATGTATCCAAAAATGCACATCTTAGGGAAAACACATAAATATATCTTATTTAAGAGAAAATTAATAGGAAAATGTGTACTGTGAGGAAAATGTATCCCAAAGTATATGCTTTAGGAAAACGGGATGCTTTCAAAAATGTACATTTTAGAGAAAATGTAAATAATTTAAATGTGTTTGTGCAATCTTTTTTTTAAAAAAAGGAGACAGAATGGACTTCTGATTAAATGCATGTAAAACTGAAACAGACTAAAAACAGAGCGATGCCTTTCCCCCTTCCTAGTAGATGTGTGCACTCTGTGCCTGTTCAAAGGCATTATTTTTTCCATTGCTACTTTTCACATTCCAGGGCTGAGTTCTGGTGTGGAAACAGGTTCTGCAGCTATGGCCCAGTGAGCTCTGGCTCAGATTTTAACTTCGTTGTATATTGTCCAGATGCACTCTTGCTCATCACGCCTCTTGTCTAAAAATAGGAACAAACGTATTGTCTGAATGCTAATGCGTGCAATTAGCCTGGAGAGAAAAGGACTTGGTGAGATATGGGTCTTTTCATGGAGCATGTTGCACGTACTGCCATTCGAATAATGTGTTTGTAGCATCTAATTTTTATGCACTGGGGAGACTTAAGAGAGAGAGAGAAGAAGATGCAACATGTAATTCAGATCTTATGGTATCCAGTTAGGAATTTCCTCTTCCTGGAAAGTGTTAAACTTGGCAGTTATATTACCCTCAGCAAGATTGTGTGTGTTTCATTACTACTCTTTTTATTTTCATTTTGCAGCAATCCTGGGCCTTTTTATTAAATTTATTTTAAAAAAAGTTAAAACATAAAGGACTCAAAAGGCCACTTTTCTTCTGTGCCCTTTCCTCCCCTCGAGGATAAGAGAATAGAGGGAGAGAAATCCTTCAGAGGCTACAGCAATCAAAATTGCTCTTTGGAAAAGCTTTACAGGTTGAGTTTAAACAAGAGAGGAGGAGGAGGCGGCGGTGTGGGGAGTGGGGTGGCTGCTGGGGACACAAAACCCATTTCAAGTCTCCAGCCAGTTGTTAAGGTATAAATATGTACATTCATCATGCCAGCTTTGATGTTGAGACAGGCAGTGTATGGGAGATGGAAGTTATTTAATAGAATAATATTCTGCCTATTATTAACACAGAGACATACACACAGCCAATTTCGTTGTTCTCTCAGTAGCAGTCTACCAAAGAACTAATTCACAATCTATAATCCCTTCATATTTTCCATGGTAGGAGAGAGTACAGTGGTACCTCAG